AATTCAACCAGGTGAATTTGAAGATCTTGTTTGTTTTATTAAAGGATTTATGAATCTGGCAGTGTCTGATCTAGCAAACAGGATGGAACTCTGAGGAGCTGTACAAATTGGAAAGCTTTTATAGGCTGAAGAATGGTGGGGCAAGGAAGTCAAAAGAGTAGATTCTTTCAAGCAAGGTCATCTTCTCTTAGGAAAGTCTTATCAGGCCAGTTACCTCACTAGTGCTAATGAGGAAATTCCAGATTGACTGGTTAAAAGTCACATTCCTGCAAGAGGCTGAAAATACAATTAGTTCTTCCTTGGCAGACATAGGGCTTAGCACAAGTGACTCCATTTTGGGCCTGTTGTTTCTTGTTAACCCTGGCATTTCTAGAATCTCAGCTAAATGCTTGGTGTGTTTGTAAAGTACTCTTGGTGTTTTCCACTCTGGCTGGATGAAAATTCCACTATTCACAGCAGATAAAGAATTACTACTGGTATCACTATCCCAGCTTCAGTGTGAGTAACTGTAGGTTAGCACAGCTGGGTCTTTCAGAGTCTGGTCTGTGGTTGTGCAGCCCAGCCCTTGGCCAGGTACCTATGGTGAAGCCCTGCTCATTATTTTTGAAGTTTTATGCAAAGCTTTTCTTTCTCTGCTACTATTTTTCCACAGATCCTAGACACTTTAGTGATGAAAACTTTGATTTTTCCTCCACATCTCAGTAGGACTATTGTTTCCCTTGTATTCCATCTCCCTGTACTGTAGTAGCTAAAACGCTCCTATTGAGAAAGCTGGTGTGAACATTGGCTTTCTTGTTATGATCCAACTCCTCCTGTTTCTCAATGCTTGAAAATAGTCATGTCCTAATTTTTTTTCAAATTTTATATTTCTTTATAGTAAGAGAAAAAGGCTGGTACCAATTATTCCTTTATTCTGGGAAGCAGAATTCTCATCACTAATTATATTTTGAGTGAAGTATCATGTTGAATGAGAGGATCTTTGAAAACCATATGTCCAACATTACATACAGTGAGCAAGAAAAGCTATGCTTTAGAAATCTTGGTTTAGCAGTGATTTTATAATGAGATATGGTAATAAAAGAGAAGTTTATCTGTGTTAAGAAATTCACTGAGATATACAAATGTGTGTGACAAAAGGAAGTACACATATAATCCAAAAAATAAGAAATGCCATTGAGCTAGAAAGGTAGGTGGAAATTAACTAATCCAGGTAATGGATTGGTTGGTCAGACCAGATGCCTTTGTAGATATACTGCAAAATATGAAAATACTAAAAACAAAAAGAAGCTTAAAGAATTATAGATTAAAGCATAGCTGTGTTCATTGCAAAAGACTTCTTTATTGTACAAAAGAATTTATTGAAGTCTTAGTACTTTGGTGGATTCCCAATATAATTGTTTGCCAAAAGCTGATTACAATGTATCTCCTGCCTTTGGATAAAAGGAAGCAAAACAACTATTTTTTTATTGCCATGTTTATCTATTTCTTACTTCAAGTGAATAGATGTAGTTTCAGGATAACTCAAGTATATAATGATGCCAGCAAAGAGGAGGGCACAAGATTGTTTCCAGGGCAACGAGCATGGGTAAGTAAATTCCTGAGATCCTTTTCTTTCTTGGAGAAGTCCCACTCCAGGGCTCTTGCATAGACTTCTCACCATTCATATAAACCAGCAGTATGATATCAAGAGGACAGGGAAATTCAGTGAGTCAAAGTTATTCAATGCATAAAACTTGACTCAAAAGAACTAGAGGTTATAGGGTTTGGTCTTTTATAACTTTTTTCTTTCTTTTTCTTTTGTTTTTGTATGGGACACATACATTTATAGGGTGAGGCAAAAGTAGGTTTAAAGTTGTTTATATGGAAAACAATACAATAATTAAAAAATAATAACACAATTTCTTGCTCTTCCTCTAAGGAAATAGACTTCCAGGAAGCTCAGAGAGTCCCAAAGAAGTTGGACCTGAAGAAGCACACACCAAAGCACATCATAATTACATTACCCAAGATGAAAGAGAAGGAGAGAATCTTAAAGCAGCAAGAGCAAAGGAAACAGTTACCTACAAAGGAGTTCCCATAAGACTATCAGCTGATTTCTCCAAACAAACCTTGTAGGAAAGAGGTGATTGTTAGTGGATATGGGGATGAGGAAAATGTTCTGGAATTAGGTAATGGTAACAGTTTTATAACCTTGTGATATTATTTGAAAAACACTGCATTATATACTTTATAATGCTGAAATTTTGAGTACCTGAATTACATCTTAATAAAGCTCTTTTCGTTTTTCTTTTTAAAATTCTCAGTGTCTCCAATCCTTGCATTTTATGGAGACTAGCCTTTCAGTGTAACTGCACACGCTTTTTTGATGGCTTTATCCAGACTTGAGTGTAGTTACTGTAAACAACTTTTGCTGAGCTCCATGTTGGAACTCAGCTCAGGTCAAGTGGTTTCAGCTAAGTGAACCTCCTGTCTGCACTGATGCATCTTTACAATTTATATACCAAATCTCTGAAGCCATGAAGTTAATTCTGGATTTGAGTTTTCTTGTGACTGTGTGGACAGAATGTCATGAGTGATAGAGACTCATGGTCTTGTAATTCCCCAAGAAGAAAAGACTTCTGCTGAGAGGCAGCTCTATACTAGAATTCAGAATATAATACTTCACTTCTGTCAATCTGCAGGAGTCTCTGAGATCTCATTCAGCTTCACCTTCCAAGATATGCTTCCTTGATACTCTCATGTCCTTCTAAGTGAGATGTCTCCTTTGTCTGCTTGCAGAAATGCATAAAGGCCAATAGATCTTGTGGCTCTTCATTGGCATTCAATACAGAGGCACAATATAACCATAAGGCAGGCTAAGAAAAATTCATTCCAATACTTCCCTTTCTTCGTTGACAATTTATAGTGGTTTGTTGTTTTATGTTGTACATGTCATAAATAACACAATTTAGGATGAGGAAAGTCTTTTATTACACAGATATATTTAACAAAATCTTTTCTTGAAGAAAACAAGTGTTTTGAAATGATGCAGAGCAAATTGGAATTCCATCTCCACTATACAGGTTACTGAGTGACAATGAGGATTGACTTAACCACTTTGAATCTGTCACCTCAACTGCAAAAGAGGAGAATGACAAAAATGAGTATCATACTTGGGTCCTACAATTAGGGCACAAATAATGAAATCCATCTTGTTATGTAAACAAAAATGTGTTCTACAAATATGAGTGTCATTTCCTAGTATACACATGTTTTTATTATGAAGTACTGCCATATGTCTTTGGTGAGTATGCAACTCAATGGTCACCTTCCAAACTGAGCAGGAAATCTATTATTGCACAATTCTTGCAAGAACAAACTGAAATATATGTTTTCCTTTGGAGTCAGAGTTCTGTTTTAGCAAAGTGTAGAGCAATCTTTCCATTTAAATAACATGTTATTCACAAGCAAGTTGATTTGTATACTTGTATGCCTAGTTATGTGTATTGTGGATCTTACTATTGCCCAAGGGGCTGGTATCCAGTTTGCAAAAGATATTACTCATCCATTTTAGTGGCCTGAGGTTTGAAAGCAATATCTGTTCTCTGTGAATGTTTTAAACTTCAATCACCTTAAAAGAAAAAAAAATCTGCAAATTAGGTGGTTAATTCTTAAAAATTTTACCTTCTTTAAATTAAAGCTTTATAACACAAGTATTTTTCCTATGAATACTGTCTTTAAAAAATAAGGTTAAAGGAGATGCTTAACCCAAATTTTAGTCTGCATGGCTTGCCCCTGAGTAATGGAATATGAGCTGAACCTTCTGGATAGGAATTCCTGAAGACCCTAGGCCTTTGCCTCGTAGGCCTTTCGTGCATGTCCACCTTAATTGAACATCAACTCTGTGTTAACCACTGGACTAGTTGTGCTGGGTGTGATGTTCCAGGCAACAGTTTAACATTTAGAAGAACCCATTCTTTGTTAAAAAATAATAATAGTGTAGCTCAGATCTTGATGGTTTTCAGTTTCCTCATCTTGTAATAGGTGTAAGATCAAATGAAATAATATATGAGGAAATGTTTTACAAACATTTATTTAACCAAGATATCCTGCTGGAATATCAAAAACGCACCATGTGGTAAAGATCCTAGAACTGAACATCTCGGTAGATGAAGTTGGCTCTGTTTGCCAGTATTTTGCCAAATGCTGTTTTGCATTTGACTTTTGTGTTATTTCATTTTACTAATTAATTTTTTCAAAGTAAGATTATTAAACATAAACTGTCCAGTCTAGAAAATTTGGAAAATATAGAAAACAAAATGACCCAAATTTTTCTGCCTCTTAATGCCCCCACTCTGAGTTAATTACTGTTAACATTTTGGTGAATTTCTCAGTTATGTCTCTTCACCTCAAGGAAAAAAAACCTGTTCAGGTGAGTGAAGTTGGACCACCAGCTCCAACACCACTGCCAGCTGCTAGTACCAGCGGAAACACTGAAATCAGAGGAAGGTCAGAAATCTTCAAAACCCAGAAACAGCAGACGTCTTAACGTTCTGAAACCTCCTTAGAGTCCACGTTTGCAGAAAAGCTTGCCAAGGCATTATGAGCTTGGTGTACGTTTCTGGAGGCTGCTTACTCCTGCTGTCTTCCCATCCTCATCAGGCGAGCCATTATATATTGCTAATGAGAATAATATTTTAAAACTCTCTCCAGAGTGACGTTCTTCCAAACACTGTTTCAGCAGGTGAGAGACATGTGCCTGTAATCTAAGCATCTGATGGTCTTTCCCAGTGCCTCCTGCGGAGTACGCTGGTGCAATTACTGGCAAATTAGACTTATCCTCGACCCCGCCCCGTCCCTCCCCATCCTCCGGGCAAGCGGGAATAAATGATGAGCCCAGAGCGGGTGTGCAGACCTGTGAGCGCAGCCGGTTGACCGGAGCGCGAGGGGCCATTGCTGGGCACCTCCTCCCAATCCCCGCGCCGCCTCCAGCGCGAGTGACAACGCGTCCTCCGGCTCGGGCTGGGGCTCGGGAGCAGGAGTGCTGCCCGAACAACCCCGGGCAGGGAATGACTCGCTGCTGGTGACATCACTCCCAAAGATACTCCCCCCTTCTCAGTGCCTGCCTTCGCAAGGCATCTGTCCGTTTGTCCATTTCCGTCTGCTGCTGGAGAGAGCTTATCGCCGGCCGGGAGCAGAGTCGGGCACGAAGGAGAGACAGGACCTGGAGGACGACGGAGAGCAAAGGCAACAAGGGAAGGAGGACCCTGGCAGGAGACAAAATGAAATTCAGTCCAGCGCACTACTTGCTGCCTCTCCTGCCTGCGCTGGTCCTCAGCACCAGGTGAGTCCAGGAGCGTGAGGGACCTTTAGCAAGGGGCGCTGCTGGTCGGTTGGTTCTACTGCAGATCACCTGTGGGGGCCAAGGACAGTCACTTAAGCTATTTGCATGCCCCACTTAAGTTAGAGGGTTCCTCTATTTTTAGGCTTTTGAAATCCTTTCAAGAGGGCAGAGCCCTTTTCTAGTTATCCCAGTCCTTAAAGTCTCAGTATTGCTCCCCGCGAGGGGACCAAGAGCTTTCCCTTCCAAAGACATGTTCCCTCCAGCTCTAGTAATAGTAAAGGATAACACGCAGTTACCAACCACAATAAAGGGTACAGCGAGACAAGGGGGGAACTGTCACCAGGCAGTATCTTTACATTGGAGCTGTCTCAATAGTCACAAAGCTCTCTTCTCCCTCAAGTGTGTGTGATTTTAAGGCTTGGAGAACCAGAGAAAAATAGTTAATCCCAGAAGACGGTAAGCCCTGCGCAAAAGTTCCTGGACTGGTAAAGTACCTGTTTTTACATCTTGCGTAGACTTAGTGGGAGGCATTTCCATTTGGTTGTCGTGTGAGAAGATGTAATTAAGGAGCACACAAGGTGATTAAAAGTTGGGAGACACTCTCAGTGCTAATGTGGAGACCCTAGTCAGAAACAGTTACACACTGTACTTCATCTCTGACCGTAGACGAGGCTTCAAGCCCCAGCACAGAGGAGCTATTTTAAGTGGAGTTTTAAAATACAGTGATTGAAAAGAGTTTTGTGACTCCCCACTGTTCATCAAGTCCCGAAGTTGGTGATGGGCTTGTATTTCTCTTCCACAAGAGCAGCACAAGGGTGAACTGTTTCATTGCCCAGGACTGAGCCTCTATTCTGTATGCACTTAGCATCCTATTGGCAGCAACCTCTTCCCTTTGGCTACTATAAAATAAAATAACCCACACAGGATGAGAATCTTTTCAAATCTATGTGAATGAAAACATTATCTGATTGTGTATCTGATGAAAAATGAAAGAGTTGTATTTAATTCAGAAATTAAATGTATGAGAAAAAAACTCATTATACATGAAAAATCAAGGCAGTGCAATTTGTGAGTCCATTCCAAATCTGCATATCTGCTTTAAGTCTCTTATGACCAAACTTTCCGTTTTAGTGTGAGGACTGTTAGGGTTAGCCCCAATAGTTGATGAACTTAGTCTTTCTCTGCAAACAAGGCCCAGGTGATTTTCCCAGACTAAAGTAAAATGAGTTGTATTCTCTAATTTCTCTGTGGGTTGCTGGTCACTTCAGTTAAAAAAAAATGAAGGTGATTTTAAAACCATGTTGCTATTCAGTATTATAATAATTTGCTCCCATCACAAAGTTCATTTTAATACTTGTGGTTAGCTGTAAACAACTCAATGCAAATTGTGCATTACAATTATTTTTTGAAGTGTCTTGCCATTTACTCTGAACTTTTGTCTTATGGTTTAATAATTATTGGTGAAGTTTTCTAGAAAAAGGAAGTTCTCAAAGTTTGATGCTAAAGTAGATGCTTCTCAACATATACATAAAATAATGAATATTTAAACAAAATATAGACCAAAGTGATTTTTAAAGACATGGAAATCTCTAGTGTTTCAAGAGTACATTCATATTTAAGGATGTTGCACTTTAAGTGGTTTGGAGAGCTCTAAAGCCTCTAGCATCCAAAGTTTTAATATGGTTATATAGTACAAAGACAGACAAAGAACCATCATCTTCCCTTTTATGAAAGTTGTAATTTTCAAGAGTAATTTTTAAAATAGTCAACACCTTTACTACAACATGTATTAGAATTAGTCAATCCTAGATTACTTTAGATATGAAACTTCTTCAGTGTTGGTTGTATATGAAAATTGTAACAGGTCTTTCAATTCTCCTTTTTACTTTCTCAACAAAAAGAACATGATGGGCTTAAAAAAGTGAGCCTTTTTGTAACCAGTGGCACGTCTTGTTATTGCAATTACTCCATAGCAATTCATTTTACTGGATATCCAGATTACTTTGTGACAGTGAACAAATTAAAAAATGAATATGGTATTATCAGTATGCCATTTTGCAAGAAGAGATTATGTTTTAATGGACTTTAACAGAAGGCCATTCTCTCAGCAACATTTAAGAGTTGTGTAGACATATGGTTAATGTGCAAGTTAGAACCTAAGCTGTACAGGTTTGCGAGAACAGTTGCATTAGTAAAGGTGAGTTTATTGTCCTGCTGAGAAAAACGGTGTAGCTCAGCTATGGCCACCTGTGACAGTGGATTTTCTAGCCAAAGACTTTTATAGACTTAGTGTCTTAGTCAGTGGTCTTATATGTGAAGTAAATGGCATTTCACATACTAAGACCATGTTGAATGCATTAGCAGAGTGTGGCCCTTGCTAGGTTTTTCTATAGTCTTTATCACTTGTCTGCAATCGTCAAGTTCTTTTCAAAGTGTGAGAAGAGTAGATCTGAGACTCTTGATGGAAAAATGTATCTGTTTCAACACCTCTTTCTCTGGGCCTACCTCTTTAATACTTGCTATTATCTTTCCAATAGGTTTAAAGTTTCAGTTCTGTTTTAAAATACAGGATTGTGTTCACTAAAACAAATGAAGCAATTAGAGAGTTACTATAAGCAGTATTCTTCCACAGGGATGAAAACTCTAGAACAATTATGCCTTTTAAATATGAGTTTTTGAATACCTTTCAGTTTGTGTTTGCTCCTCATTTTCACCTTTTTATAGCAACTGAAGATGTTGAAGCATAAAAATTCCATAATTTTTTACCATAGTGAACAATATGAATGTTCTGAAAGAGAACTAAAAATTTAGCTTCCACAATAGCCAAGAATTAATTGGTTTACTGGTAAACCCCAGAGAATTAAAAAGAATAGTTTAATTTTCTGGTACATTGTCTCTTCTGTTTAGAAAATACGCATACACTGAGAAAGTTCAAGTAATGTTATAATTAATGTAGTTAATAAAGAAACATTTAACCTGTGCACAAATAAACGTGGTCAAAGAAAACAAATGTGTTGGTTTAATAGCGTCAGAGTAGAATGACTGTACTTTTTAAATAGCTTCATTCTGTGGAAGTATTAAATTGCAATTCCAATGCTGCCAGCAATTCACTTCAGAAAGAAGTACTATAGGTACTGAAAGAAATAGTAGGGTAAAAAAAATCTTTAGAAGTTCCTGGTGAAAAGGGACCCATGGCGTGCTGGAGAAGCCTTGTGCTTTAGATTGCTGAACCTCTGTTCCTTTATGCTGTGATTCTACTCTTGATGCCCTTGGTTTATTGAGTTTTAAGTGACTTAATGGGGAGAGGAGCATGGCAGGGGAGGAGTGAAGGTCTACTGACTTCTGATGGTTTTCCTTCGAGCAAGAACTTTCAGCAGATGGCTGCTTATAGTCCTCCCAATAGGAGTCACCTCATAGGTCTCTGCTGGGCACTCTGATCAGCAGTCACACCACATGTTTATGCTGGAACCTATTGTAAAAGGATACTATGTATAAAGATACGCCAGTCTCCTATTGGCATTGTGCTTTTATCTGTCCTGAGAATCAATTTGATTTATAGGATAAGGGAAAGGCAAGCGTCACAATAAGGATATAATAAGCCCCAAAGTGGTTTTTTTTGTAATTTTTAAGCATACACATTTGATATAGGAAGCATTCCCCACCTTGATCTGTGGTAACCTGAAATTATTTTCCTGACCCTGTATGTAGTGTGTCTTGCCACACACACACATTTAATCTGACCCCACACATGTTGTTTTGTGATAAGAATTAACATTGTGTGTAATAGAGTTAGAAAATGTCTTTCTAAGTTAAGCAGATACTAACAAGCAACTTTTTTGACTTGTCAAATTTCAGTTTTGGTCCTTAGTTGCCAATGTCCAAGAGCAGCTTTTAAAATGACTTATTTGGGCATTATCTTTGTAGAGTAAATTCTCCTTATGACTAATGAAAGGTAAACCTCAACCATTTATGGTTTGAGTGTACAGTAGTCCTAGGCCACTTTCTATGCAATTGAAAGAAAGAACTTGACCTATCACCTACCAAGGAGGAAGCAAAATTTACCAAAATTGCAGAGAGGTATGTGGTTCTAATGGAATGATATTTTTTCACATGTGTTATGGGAGTGCTTGTGTTTGAGTATGTGTGGTGTGTGGGTGTGCCTGCTTTTGACTGACTTCCAGAAGAAAATCCCTTTAAGAAATGGGGCCAAGTAATTAAATCATCTGATTATATAGATAATGTTCAATACAAAATTTTCTTTAGAAAATCCAAAAAAATCCATTTTAATTTTCTGTTATAACCTTTAAAGAGGTCTTTGATGTTTTCCTTATCATGTGTTAAAAGTATATCTGCAATGAATCAGTTATTGCATATGGCATCAGGGCAATATAACAATATATTAGTTATAAATACAAATCCTTATAATCTAGTCATGCACAGAAATAATTATGTATAATATGAAATTGGACATATAACAAGAAATATTTTAAACAAATTTCCAAGTATGAATAGAGGAAAATATATAATGCCAGTTAAGGAGTATAGGAAGTAACTTCTGTTTTCCAAGAACAAGGAGAGAAATAATATTTTATAATTGACTTTAATATTGTCCAACATTTGTTGGTTGTATAATATTAGGAAAATTTCTTACTCTCTGTATCTGTTTTTCCTACATGGAAAATAAAGCTACTTGCATAAACTACTTGAGAGAGTGTGGTAAAGACTGAATGAGTTCATCTAGAAAAAAACTTTACCATAATCCCTGGAACATAGTGAGTGCTCAACAGAGTGAGACTGGGCAGCTATTACTATATTGCTATTTCTATTTTCCTGAAATCTTTGTGCCTGTGATTGATTTGGGAATAGTAGAATGAGTGAAAACTTGGATACAAAATCAATTGGATGACACAAATTTAACAAGACTCATCATCACCATCCAAAAGAAAGAAAGTGTTAGCAAAGAGGAGAGGCAGCTGAAGGGGCAGTGAGGATTTCCTGAT